GCTGCTGCTGCTGCTGCTGCTGCTGCTGCTGCTGCTGCTGCTGCTGATGCTGCTGCTGCTGCTGCTGATGATGATGGTGATGGTGATGGTGGTGATGGTTGTGCGCATTCTATTCATCTACATGTACCTGAAGGTATTTTATTTATATTTATATTTCTGCTGCTGCTGCTGCTGCTGCTGCTGCTGCTGCTGCTGCTGATGGGGGTAATGGTGGTGATGGTGATGGTGATGGTGGTGGTGGTGATGGTGCTGATGGTGATATTGCTGCTGCTGCTGCTGCTGCTGTTGCTGCTGCTGCTCATCATGGTGCTGCTGCTGCTGCTGCTGCTGGTGCTATTGATGATGATGCTATTGCTGCTACTGGTGCTGCTGCTGCTGCTGCTGCTGACGATGGTTGTTGTTGGTGGGGTTTGTGTGTTTAGGGTTTAGGGTTTAGTGTTTAGTGTAGTGTATATGTGTATGCATATATGTACTGCACCCCTCATAAACCCCTTCCCAAACCCTAAACCCTAAACCCTCGACCCTAAACCCTAAACCCTAAACCCTAATTTTGTGTTCAGGGGCAACACCAAAGGATGGACCCTCAGCCGGCGTAACCCTCGCTTCTTCTTTGCTTTCTCTCGCTCTAAACCTAAACCCTAAACCCGATCTAGCAATGACTGGAGAGCTCACACTCACTGGTAAACCCTAAACCCTAAACCCTAAACCCTAAACCCTAAACCCTAGAGAAGAAACCGAAAAAGGAGGACGCAAATATCTCATCATCCAAATACCCTAAACCCTAAACCCTAACAATAGAATTGTAAACCCTAAACCCTAACCCTAGAATCATAAACCCTAAACCCTCATCTTCATGCAAACCCTAAACCCTAAACCCTAAACCCTAAACCCTTGTGAACTCAGGGAAAGTTCTCAAGGTGGGCGGCATCAAGGAGAAGGTTATCGCGGCTAAGCGGGAGAACATAAAGGTAATCTCTCTAAACCCTAAACCCTAAACCCTAAACCCTAAACCCTAAATTTCTAAACCCTCTAAATAAATATCCGTGTTCAGGGTTTAAACCCTAAACCCTAAACCCTAAACCCTAAACCCTAATTTGTGCGCTGCAGACCCTCATTTTCCCCAAGGGAAATCAACGAGACTTCGAGGAGCTTTCGGCGAATATAAAGGTCAGCACATAAACCCTAAACCCTAAACCCTAAACCCTAAACCCTAATTTTTTTTTTTTGTTTTTAAGAACAAGTTTAGGGTTTAGTGTTTACCATTGCATTGCATCGCAGCATCCATCACAAGTACTTAATTCTCCCACTTTCCATTTTCTAGGGTTTAGGGTTTAGGGTTTAGGGTTTAGGGTTTACACTTTTTTTTTTTTTTTCATATTCAGGAGGGTTTTGACGTTCACTTTGTAGAAGAATATGATCAAGTCTTCGACCTCACCTTCGGCCATCACTACGGGGCCCCCATGGGGGCCCCCCACCAGACCCTCGAGGGGGGGGCCCCTGAGGAGGGGGCCCCCNCTGAGGAGGGGGCCCCCGAGGGGCCCCCCGAGGAGACCCTGCAGGGGGCCCCCGAAGGGGGCCCCCCCGCTGAGGCCCCCCTCAACGGGGGCCCCCAAGACGAGGTAAACCCTCAGGGGGGGGCCCCCCCAGAGGAGGGGGCCCCCCAGGGGCCCCCCGAGGACCCCTCTAAGGGGTCCCCCCAACAGGGGGCCTCTTAAGGGGGCCCCACAGGGGGCCCCCTCAGCGGGGGGCCCTTCAGGGGGGGGCCCCCAGGGGGCCACTCAGGGGGCCCCCTGAGGGTTTGAGTGTATGGGGGCCCCCTCGGGGGCCCCCTGAGGGTTTGAGTGTATGGGGGCCCCCCAGGGGGCCCCTGAGAAGGGTTTGTGGTGGGTATGTGCAGCAGCTGAATGTTTGGTGCTGCAGCGATCCCCTAAACCCTAAACCCTAAACCCTCGAGAGTATATATCGTTGGGTGTTGTTGAGGGTTTAGGGTTTAGGGTTTATTGTTTTTGTCTTTTATTTAATTTGTATTTGTCTATACATTTTATCTCCACCCCCAATAAACAATTAAAATAAATAAAAATAAAATAAAAATAAATAAATAAATAAAAATAAATAAAAAATAAATACAAATAAATAATTATAATAAATACTAACTACACCAACAACAGAAACCCAATCTATCTGTCTCTGTCTCTTCCTTTCTCTCTATCTATCTCTATCTATCTCTCTTCTCTTTATCTATATCTATCTATCTCTCTGTCTCTTTATATTTTTTTTTCAATCTAAATCTATATATCTGTCTCTATATCTTTCTTTCTTTCTTTCTTTCTTTCTGTCTCTCTTTATCTGTCTCTCTTTCTGTCTCCTTCTGTCTCTTCCTTTTTCTCTCTTTTTGTATTTTTCTGTTTCTTTGTATTTATCTCCTTATTTATAAATTTTATTTTTTTTTCTCTCTTTAGGGTTTTTGTGCGTTCTCAGCTGTATATACACCTCACCATTAGGGTTTAGGGTTTAGGGTTTATAGACACACCTCAGGTTTAGGGTTTAGGGTTTAGGGTTTATATACACTTGATAGTGCTGTGACGGGCTGCTGCTGCTGCTGCAGCAGCAGCAGCAGCAAACCCTAAACCCTAAACCCTAAACCCTCGCTACGCTCTACATGATCTCACGTTGCTTGAGTCATAAATAAGGGTTTAGGGTTTAGGGTTTAGGGTTTGTATTTACACAACCATCTAAAGACATATAAAGAAACAAACATAATGAATAAACAACGTCAACACCTGCTGCTGCTGCTGTTGTTCCTGCTGCTGCTGCTGCTGCTGCTGGTGTCCTGCTGCTGCTGCTGCTGCGCTGCAGCAGCAGCAGCAGCAGAAGCAGCAGCAGCAGCAAAATCAGTAAAAGCAACGCCACCGCTACATGCGTAAATTATTCCACAGCAGCAGCAGCAGCAGCAGAAGCAGCAGCAGCAGCAGCAGCAGCAGCAGAAGCAGCAGCAGNAGCAGCAGCAGACAACAGCTAGCACTGCAAAGACGCCGTCGAAAAAGGGTTTAGGGTTTAGGGTTTAGGGTTTAGGGTTTAGAAATCTTTGTCCCAGTCGTATTCATCTTCTAGCTCAATGCCCTCATCCTCCTCGATGTCAAGTCCCCCCTGAAGCAAAACACATAAACCCTAAACCCTAAACCCTAAACCCTAAACCCTCAAAGAAATACATGTTCTAGGTTATGAGAACCCTATCTATGTGTTAAATTGAGGGTTTAGGGTTTAGGGTTTAGGGTTTACGTGGTGTTGTCAGCAGGTGTGTATACAGTAAAGTAACCCTACCCCCTCTTCCTCTGGTTTAGGGTTTAGGGTTTATTAGGGTTTATTAGGGTTTATTAGGGTTTAGGGTTTATGAGGGTTTACTTCTTCTGCATCCTCTGCATATGTCTCTCCTTTTGGGAGAAGGGGAGGAGACAAATCTCTGCCCGCTAGTCGATCCCAATCAAAGTCAGAAAAAAACGCGTGTTCTTTTATAT